AAGATTTGGAGAAAGGATCTGAATTTTCTTCTTGGTAAAATTGAATTGCTATACCTTGAAAACCCTCAGCCTCCCAGGATGCTTTCCAGACCCATAGCCACAAATTTTGGTCACTGATAGGGAAGAAAAGGGGCTGAAGAAGGAAGGTTTCTGGTACAGGTGTAGTTCAGGTGGTAACAAATAGGGAAGGTTGGAATGAAGAGAATAGTTACGGAGAAAGCTGAGCTCCATCAGGAGCTGCTCAATGGTGGGTTGAATATCTGAGCATAATTATTTAGGACTGGGGTACAGTCCTATCTGGGTGTGACTAGTTTGTAAGTACTATTGGAGGAACTTCCTCAGAGAGACTGGAAAGTGGAGAGACCTTCCTTAAGATTTTTTGTTTGTGTACACACACACACACACACACACACACACACCATGAATGCACCAGTAAGGTGTAATTACACTAACCAAAGGTCTTTATCAAACAGTAGGGAAAGAATATTTTTTGCCTGAGGTGCCAGAAGGAACTGGGTTCAAACTCTAGCTCCAGTCCAGTACTTCTCAATGTGTAGCCTTTAGAAATTCCCTGAATATTCCTGAGCCTATTTCCTGCTTTGTAAATGGCATATAGGAACTGCTTTCTTACTGGTTATTTACAAAGTTTAGTGAAAATATCACAACCTGAGAGCTCACATGGTGCAATTATTCAGTAACTGCTAATATAAGTGTGCAATCCTTGATCCATCATTCATAAATCCAAAGATGTTTTGTATGTTTTCTCTAAGTTCATCTCAAAACTAATTTGGTAACAAAACCCACTGTGTCACCAAGAGTCCACATAGCATTTCTTTTTCAATTTATTTTTTATTTATGTGTACGTGTGTAAGCCTGAGTTTATATTATGCACAATGTTTGTGCAGGAGCCTGAGGAGGCCAGAAGAGGGAGTTTGTTCCCCTGGATTTGGAGTTGGTTGTGAGCTGTCATGTGGGTGTTGAAAACCAAACCTGGGTATTCTGCAAGAGCAGCAATGCTATTAACTACTGAGCCTCTCCAGCCCCACATACAGGCATTTTGTATGCTTGTTTATCTTTTAAAAATATTTTTTTTATTTTTTATTTTTTGTTCATTCCCTGCATGTATGTAAGTGCACCTGTGTTGTGCAATGCTCTGGAGGTCAGAAGGGGGTGTTGGATCTCCTGGAAGTGGAGTTAGAGATGGTTGTTAGCCATCATGTGGGTATGGGAATGGAACCTGGGTATTCTGCAAGAACAGACAGTGCTCTTAACTCCTAAGCCATCTCTCCAGCCCCGTTTGTTTGTCTTTTTGAGACAAGGTTTCCTTGTAGCCCCAGCTGGCCTAGAGCTTGCTATGGAGACCAGGTTGGCCTTGATCTCACAGAGATCTGCCTGTCTCGACCTCCTGGGTGCTGGGATTAAAGGTATGTGCCACCATGCCCAGCTTATAGGCACGCTTTAAGCCCATAATGTGACTATGCATTTCACTGAAGAGCTATGCTTACTTAAACAGTGCTTTCTGGTCAAGACCTCAGTTATGAGGTTATATAATATTGGACTAACATTTTTCTAAAATGACTCAAGTTCCTGAATTATAAACCATATCTACCTCTAAAGTTTAGGATCATGAGTCTGAATTTTTTCATTGTTCTCCAAATACGTAATATTTTGAAAATATTTTTGTCTGTTTAAAGACTGCATTTACTGATTTAACAGTTCACATTCTATTTCTTATTTAGCAAAGTTATATTCCGAATAAATATCAGTCACCATTTCTGTACATCCCCAACATTCCAAGGTAGTCATACTGAGGAATTTATTGTATATGAGCCAAAATGAGTCTGAGCAGTCTGATCCATGTAGAGGGACTGTGTGCTTTGTGTATGAAATGTCCCCCAAAGGCCATATATGTTAAATAATTGGTCTCAGGCTGGTGGATGAAATCATTGAGGTGTAATTAGATCATAATGGCTCTGACCTCAATGAATTTGTCTCTTGTTGGATTCATAATAGGACGACACCTTATTGGTAGGTGGTAGAACGTAGAAGTCGGAGCTTCTTTGGAGACAAAAGGACTCTACGGCATGCTCTGAAAAACTGTGTCTTGCCTCTGGCCTCTTCTTTTAAATTATTTCTAATTTAGTAACAATAAGTTAGCTAACAGAACATGAAAGAATTGCACTAAGCCTTTGAGAAAAGAAAAATATCTCCACAGATACCAGATTTTTGGAATTATTTGTACCTATAAGTTCTAAGTATGTTCATATTTGTACATTCCGAAATTTTATGAACATTTTTATTCTTGGATAGTCCTTGCATTTATGGCAAAATTTAAACAGCAGATGCTGAGTGATTTAGCTAAAATCTGAGAAGGGGACTTTACAGTTTATCTGGATTTGTTCCTCCAAATGAAGGAACTGAGTGCACTCAGGCCTCCATCATCCTGCATGCTTAGTTCAGGGTCAGAGGTGGATCTGCAGGTTCTCACTGGCCTAGACTAGCCTGAGCTCATTCTCATTACCCAGGAGGGCAAGCAGTAGTCAGGTCACAGACCTAAAGCTGAAGGCATCACTGATACGCCACATTTTCTTAACTTCACCAGATTTTTAAACAATAATTTACTGAGAATTTTATACATGCACATAAGGTGTTTTGATCAAATCCACGCCCACTCCCTCCTCTCCAACTCTTCCCATATCTCCCCATCACTTTTTTCTGATAACTTCATGTACTCTTTTTCCTTCTTTTATTTATTTTTTTTTTGCATGGGGTTTTTGGCTACCATTCCCCCCTCTGAAGAGGTAACCCTAAAATC